CTTTACTATTTTTATTTAATATTTTAACACTAACTACACTTTCCTTTCCTACCAGATCCTACTATGTATATTTCATACATAAAGCGAATACATAATAAAACTATTAAGCACTGTAAAAGTGAGTGTCAGATTTTTTGGTTATTTTCATAAAAACAAGTTTCTTTTTAAAAAAATATCTTTTACTGATTTTAATAATGAAAGTTTGAAAGTTTAAAACATTCAAAAACAAAAAACATAAAAATAAAAAAAGGAATAATCAGTTATAATAACTTCACTTAATTTTTAGATTTTATCTTGTTAAGAAGTAAACAAATCAGTGCCTTTAATAACCTTTATTTTAAATGAAATAAACTTTTTTAATGCACCCAACTTAAATGAGGAACATTTAAGTTACCGCCTGAGTTTTAATTAAAAGGTATTAAAAATTGTTATTGTTTGCAATGTTATTTTATGAAGAGTACTACCTTACCACTATACGACTTATCTAATCTTCTTTAGTCTCAATAACCACAACAGAACCTTTTTTCTTAATAACACACTCATAGTTAACTCCAAACTTTCGTTATTAAATGCACTTGCACCATAACAAGTAAATAATACTACTATCTTTATAAATGCTCATTCTTATATTACAATAAATGATGTCCCCCTATAATAAGTAATGGTCGTTGTCGTTCTTACCATTTAAGTAAAACCTTCTCTAACCAAAGACAACACCACAACTAGAAGATAACTGGGAGTGTAAAACTGAATTCATTTTAGGATTTGTGTGGTGTATTCGTTATAATATCTCTGAATAAAAAAACTAAACATAAATAAAAGAACGAAAAAATTAATCGAAAGGAAAAAAGTCAAAAAAAATCAATCAAAAGGAAAAAATTTAATAAAGATAAGTTCAAATGATCTCAAAAAAGAATTAATTCATTATGTTGTTTTTCTTAACAATAGTCATTAGTTTTGTTAATGCTCAATTTACTTGTAAAGATGCCACCAACTTTAATTTACCAACTTATTTTGGAAAAGCAAGTTTTGGATCAAATACTTCAGTTTCACAAATTATTGATGCAAACGGACAAACCCAAACAGTCTATGGTCTTTACTATAAAGCAACTGCTCCTGATGACTTTGACAACACAGTCATTAATATAAATACATGTGATCCTTCTACAGTAATTCCATCTGAAATACTTATTTTTGAAGGGTGTTCTTCAGAAGGTATTGCAAGTAATTTTAAGACAATCTCAGGAATAGACAATGGCTGTAATCTTGCCTCAGATTTTCCAGTTATTGATTTTGAAATTAAAAAAGGAGTTACTTATTACATTCTTGTAAAATTGGTTAATCCAGATGACCAAGGAGTAGTTTCTTTCAGTATCACTTCTTGTTTGTTTTCTTTTTTAAACAAGCCCTACATTCATCAGTTTTAATAAATAGTAAAATAGAAGAACTTAACTAATTCAAAAATAGCACATGAAGAAAATCCCAATGTTGAATGCAATGTTGCAAAAGAAGTTACTCAAGTAAGATTTGTTGATAGAGGATTGTTGTTAAAGAGTAAAGTCCCTGCTAGTAAACCACTTTGTTATAAACAAGCATACCCCACATTATGGTATAAAATTAAAGGAGATGGTAGATATTTAGTTGTTAATACTTGTAATTATTATACAAATTTTGATACACATCTTGTTGTTGTTAAAGAGTTAAATAACTTAATGTGTACTGATGCTAGATGTATGAAAGAAGCAGATGATGGTTGTGGAAAATCATCAAAATCATCCATACTTGCTTTTAAAACTGAAGTTAATGAAGTATACTATATTGGGGTTAGAGGTAATCTTGGTGAAGAAGGACAGTTTGAAATTGCTATTGACTATTTATCAGATTCGATTCCAGCTACTTGTACCAGATCACTTCCAATTAAATTAATTCCATTTACAAGAACAATTGATATTCCAGATGCATGGCCAACACAAACAGGTGCATGTTTAGATGAACAAGAACATAAATCAGTATATCTAACATTTGAAGGAACAGGAAGTGAAGTCGTTATTTCTACATGTAAGTCACTTGATTCTAGTTTAAGACCAATTGGAGTTTCTGTAGAATTAATTGATAATTGTGAAGATGAGAACTGTGCATTTGATGGTAGTGAATATGGTGAATGTGGTGAAAATAATTATATTGTAAAGAAAACAGAAAAAGGACAAAATTATTATATTAAAGCATACTGTAATACTGGCAATTGTGAAATAACTCTTTCTGTTTATGAAAAAGCTAGTTCTCATGATACATGTGAAAGTGCACGTGAGTTAGTTAGACCAACAGAATATAGTGAGATTGTTGCTATTGAAAGGCTTCAAGATTCTATTCATGGGTGTAATGCTGTTGCAAAGAGTGACCCAGGACTATGGTATTTGTTAAAACATAATTCAAGTATTGTTAATGAAAAGTATACAATCCTTGGTATGAGTGCTACACGATCAAAGATTGCTTGGATTGAATTTCCATATGAATGTGGACTTATTCAATGTGAACAATTAATTCAAGGAGAGGCCCATTTATCATTTGCTACTTATAAAGAGTCACAATACATATTTATTTATTCTAATGAAGATTATGGACAAAAAGGTCTTATTGTTCAATTTATTTCAGAAGAAGAAAACTATTATCATAATTGTCCAGATGCTATGTTTATTACTCTTCCATTTACTGCAATTCATTCATTTGATAACTCTGCTTCACAATTATTATGTTCAGATAAATCAGCTGCATCTAGTTTCTATCGATTTATTTTACCAGAAGATCAAAAGGTTGATGTATCTACATGTTTCCCTAAGACAATTATTGATACAGGTATTGAAATAACAACTGGATGCTTTGGTGAGGGTGATTTGAGTGCCTCATGTATTGATTCTAATTCAGAAGGAAAAGGTTGTGTTAATGGAGCTGCAGCAATGTCTGTTTCATTGAAAGGGGAACAACAATATTATCTTAATATTTATTCTGAATCTAAATCAACCTTGAATTTAAAACAATACAGATTTGTTATTTTCACTGAAGAAGTACCAAAGAGTTCTGTTTGTAATAAAGCAATTGAATTACCGTATGAAGATGGATATTCCGAATATTTAGTATTAAATAGATATTCAAAAGAAACTGATTTTGGTAGTGAATACGGAACTACAAAAGGTAGTTGGTTCCATATTAATGTTATGAAAAAAACTGTTGTTACTGTTAGGACATGTTCTCCTAGTACTACATCTGACTCTCTGATTATTACTGCAAATGAGTGTTATGTTACTCAACAAAATAATGAAGAAGTATCTAGTCCAACAGAATTAGAAGATATTGCTGTAAGTGGAATTACTAATTGTGATATTCATGGTACTTATCTCACTTTCAATTTAGAACCAAATCAAAGTAAATTCATCTTTGTTGGACCTCAAAATTTCGATGATGAAACATTTATTGGGGTTGAATTTTATATGAACTCTCCAGATGATGACGACGATGATGACGATGATAATAATGATAGTTCTAGTTCTCAAACACCAACAGAAAGTAGTAGTTCATCAAATAATAACAACAACAAAGATGATGATGATAACATTAATGATTCAACACCAGTTGGGTGGATTATTTTTGGAGTTCTTTTCTATATTCTTTTTGTTATTGTACTGGCTATTATTATTATCGGTATTATCATGAAACGTAAAAATTCTGGATATGCTACTTTAGCTTAATTGAAAGAAATTAATTGAAAAAGAAGTTTAAATTAAAAAAAATTGTTTTAAATTATTTTTGGTTTTATTATCACTTAACTAAAATTAAAAGCTAACAACACACACCACCATTTTGTTGTTCTGCTATTTGAGGTGAATCATTTTTTTGAAGTACAATTGGTTCGTCAATCCTTTCTATTTCTTTTGGAAGAGTTTCTACTAACATTTTTTGAAGGCGCAATTCTCGGATAACAAACTCAATGATGTTATCAATGTTGATATTTCTATATGGTAAATTTAATAGGTAACTAAAAAAATTGACGTGAACAAACTCTTTGGCACTACATTCAAAATAATTAATGTTATGATTTTTAGCAAAACCTTTTGCATCTTCTGATGATATTTGTCTTTCAGTAATCATATCATTTTTATTGCCAACTAATACCAATAATGTTTTTTTATCTTCATTTTGAATTTCATAAAATACTTTCATCCAATCCTCAATATGTGTAAAAGATTCCCTGTTTGTTACATCAAACATAAATAAAATACAATGACGATTTCTAAAATAAGTTGCAGTTGTTGAACGAAACATTTCTTGTCCTGCTGTATCCCATAGTTGGACGTTGTATTGTTTTCCATCTAAAATCAATTTTTTACAAATTACATCACAACCAATTGAAGAAGCAGTATTTGGGTTAAATTCACCACTAGAAAACCTCTTGAAAAAAAACAAGTTTTTCCAACAAATGCATCACCAGAAAGAGCAATACTTATCATTAAATTTGACATATCACACTTAAATATTTTAAGTTCCATCTAAAGAAAGATAAAAGAAGATTTAAGAAGTCTATTCCCCAAAAATAATAAAAAACTAAAAATAAATTATACTCAAAAAGATTATTCATCTTATTACAACAGTATAAGTAAGACTTCTTAATGGTTCTTTTCCTTTTTCCCATGGTCTTGAATAACCTAATTTGATAGTTGTTGTTCCAACTTTTAATGGTTTTAATTGAATTTCTCGAATACTTGGGAAACCTACCATCCCAGAAGGATGAGGTTCTGCTTTGATTGTGTCTTGGCTTAACGAAAAAGTGTCAGTTGGGTAATTGATATTCCAAGCATATCCTGTTGATGGATTTGTTCTAAGTTGAATTTTTATTAAATCATTAAAAGAAATGTGAAGAGTAGCGTGGTCCTCTTTTTCAGTTAAAATATGAATTGCAGCATGAGTTGAAATGCAAAGTAATGCAAAAAAGATTAATTGTTTCATCTTTGAGTTTTTAATTTTTATAATTAAAAGTTATTTTATAAAAAATGAATAACAAAAAGAAAATAAACTTAAAATATAAAAAAGAAAAAATAAATAATGACTTGTCTCGAACTTCCCTTTCTATTGAATGTTATCCATTATTTTGAAAGTAAAAATGATTTAGAAAATTTTATGATAATTAATAAAAAATGTTTTTCAACGTTATTTGCACTTAAAGTAAATCCATTACTTAGAAATGACAATGATCTTTATTGGACTTTAAATCATTTTCAAATAGAAACAATCGATTTAGGTGAAATGCCTATTTTATCTATCGAACTTTTAATGAAGACTAAAAGAATAAGAAATCCTGATTTTTATCCAATTATTAAAAACGGGTTATTAAATGAATCAAATGCATCTGAAATATTTAAAAAAGTAACTCATTTAAAATTATATAGAAAAATTGAAGAAAATCAGATAAATGATATCAAAAATATGAATAACTTAATATTAAAATATTGTAACAGTTTTATTCATTTAAATTATTTGGAAGGGGATTTAGAATTAATATTATATTTTCTTACAAGATATACTAATTATGGAAGAGAAAAATTTATAAAAATACCATCAACATTACTTGTTTATTCTTTAAATGGAAATGTAATTGAATTAAAAAAGAATAGTATTGAATTGATTCAAAAAATAGAGTCACTTATTCCTACTAATCAAATAATAAATTTTTATATTGTCTTTGATAATAGTTCAAAAAAAGAATTATTTAAAAGTCAATTTACTAATTCATGGTACAAAAGAATAAGTTATGAATTAAATGAACAATGGAATAAAAAAATAATTTGTGATGGAGGTTGTTGTATTCTTTTTAAACGACTGGCTGATAACTCAATGAATGAATTATTAAATAAAATGTATCCAAAAGAACTTATTTTTGAAGAAATAACTACCACAACAAAATGGAATATTCCACCATACATTACTACTGTTCACATTAATTATTCTAGTAAAACTTCTCATTGGAAATTTAAACCAAATTTAAGATTTATTAAAGAATTATTTATGAATCGAATTGATTTTATTATTATTTCATCTTCCTTAGAAAATCTTCAACAAATGTTATTGTGTTCATGTCAAGAATCAATAATTCAAAAATGTGGAATGAAGTCATTGAAAAGAATTAGAATTATAAATTCTTTTCAACTTAGTTTTTGTAATTGTAATTCTGATAGTTTAGAAGAACTAACGATCATTAGTAGTGGTGGTATATATTTCTCTAATTTATTAAAATCATTGAAAAAAATAGAATTAGTGAATAGTAGAAGATTAACTATTCCTTTTGAACAAAATAATAAATTCAGTTTTTATATAGAGTCATGTTCTGAAGTTCATCTTCATCCAAATATTATCAAGTTATTAAATCTGAAACCAAACCATCATGATTTCTCTGGTACTTTTTATTTTCCTCCAATCAAAGAGTATCAAGATAAACATTTATTTACATTTAATAAGTTTATTTCATTTTCAAATGATATTGAAGTAATTGAAGATTCTGTTAGAAGAATTAAAGATAAAAATAGTATGGAAGAATATGACTTAATTGTTTCAAGAGATTTTGGAACATTTTCTAATTACTATAAAAAACAGATATTTAGTACTATCCAAGGAGAGGTATATCAGTTAAAAGGAATTCGCTATCTTGAAATTACTGTTGTTGGTAATAGTTGGATTTCTATTGGATGTATTGATGAAGAAAATTATGAATACACAATATCTTCTCAATTAGGTTGGTTAAAAAATAGTATTGGTTTTCATTCAGATGATGGAAAGGTTTATTTAGAATCAACTTATAAAACAATTGCACAAGGACTGGCTTATGGAAATAAAGTGGGACAGACAAACATTATTGGTATTGGGTATGACTGCTTTAATGAAGAAATTTTTTATACAATTAATGGGAGTTTCTGGAAAAAATTTAAAATTCCATGGAGAAGTGTAGCAGTTGCAATTTCCTTTGGAAGATTTCATCCTATTCACATTAATTCAGGAAGAAAACCTTTTCTTTTTGATAACAGAAAACTATTTTCTGAATTAGAATGTAATAATTAAATCAATAAAAATAATTCTAAATGGAATAAACAATTTTATTAATCACAAACTATTGACCTCTACATTACCTCTATTTAATAAGTTAGTTCTGTTGCTGATAAAAATAAAGATTTAAAGAATAAAGAAAAATAATTTTATTGAAGAAATAATTATATGTGGATATTTTTAATTTTTATAAAGAGTAAATATCTTGTCTATATAACTTAAAACCGATAATGATATTTATTTGGTAAATTATGATTGAAAACTCAAAAATTGTTATGGATTTAAAATGAGAAATATTCATAACACCTAAAGAATTTATTTTTCCTTGTTTTGTTTTATAAAGAAATCTATGGCATTGTTAACAGTTATAACATTCAATACATTGTTTATGTCATGAAACTACTATTTTTTTAAATTGAATTATTATTTGTTTGTTATAGATTTTATAAGATTTGTTAACTATTCCTCAAACTTTTATTTTAATAGTTACGTTCATATTATTTATTAACACTAATCAATGAAGTAGTACCATTTCAGTATATTAGATACTGTTTATTTTTTTTTTATTACTATTTTATGATTTAGTATTTGTTTAGAAAACTCTTTTTATAAATTTATTCTCTTTTTGTAATGTTTATTTTATTTAGCATCATTATTATTGATCCTGATTTATTTTTTTTTCAATTATGTTGAACCATTCAGAAGTATCATTCGAATGTGGTATACCAGAGACACTATATTGATCTTAATATATCAAATCTTTGAATCACTAGTTATTGTCTGTTTGTGATGTGTTTTGATGAGATAGTATTATAATCAAATTTAATTAGTTATTAGTTATTATGATTGTTTTGTGGAGTATTATTTATTTATTATGATGGAGTATTGTTATTTATCAAAGATAGATTTTGAATAAATACATATGATATTATTAAGAAAAATAGATTCTTTAAGGTATTGATGATAAATGAGATGAATCATAGTGATATTGATATATTCAACATAAAATAACAATATAAAGAATGAATAGTTTTAATACTCATTAGACTCAAAACATAAATCAGATAACAACATAAACGAACAATTATTTAAAATGAGAATTATTGAAAAAACACTATTTGAATAAAAATAAAATAAGTTGAAGAAACTAATATCACTTCTCATTATGATGAAATATTAATTATTAACTATTTCTTATTTGTTTTTTATTTATTTCATTTTGTTCAGAAGTAACCTTGATATTATTATTTTTAGTTGACTTGTAACAAATAAAAACTTGCTAAATATGTAAATAACAAAATATATATAATCTACAAAACTAAAATTAATATCAAAGATACTGTACTTGTAATGTTATTTAAGTACTGCTGGGAGTTGAAAGTAAAATCTATTTTAATTGTGAAAATAAACAACCAAATGACTTTACCTTTTACTGCAAAAATTTTGTATTAATTAAGTTATTGAGATAAATACTCCTTTGAAATGTAAATGTTTATTATCTTCTCCACTCTTTCTAGTAACTTGGGTTTGTACAAAATTGAAAATAACACTTTTTTACGACGTTTATAGACGATTAATGGTTTAAAAAGTGACAATAAATAATTAGTACATTTCTGATTGTTGACCCTATTCTGTTTCTATTTAAGGGTTGGTGTTGAACATGAATCAACTGTAACCAATTAATATAGATTAGCAAATTTCCTAACGACAATAAACTCCTTCATATAGGCCAAACCATAATCAGAAGACTAGATAATATAATAAAAAAGACAAGTACCATATTTATTATTTAAAGATTTATTTTAAATAACAATCATGTACGATAAATTAATTATTTATGAATTAGAGAGGCAAGAAGAATAGTTCAATTTTTTTATTGGTTTTAAACAATGTAATAATAAAATAAGTGAATTAAATTAGGAAGAATAACAAAAGTATCCATTTTTAAATAAATAGAATATGGTTCAAGAACAACAAAAAGAAAAGGAGATATTTGTGGAAGATTAGAACTTACAACTTAAAAGATCAGGATTTCCATAAAGAAAACTCAAAAATGAATTAAATAAAAAGAAGTTTATTTTATTGAAATTTAATAAAGAGAACAATGAATGATGTGAAACACAACACCAGAATTCTAAAATTTATGTATTTATTGAGTGTATTGAATATTTTTATTTCAATCAGTTCTCAACTAAAGTAAAGAACAAAACCAAAGAGTATTAAAGACTAGTGATTTTATGTTTCGTTAATCAAATAATTTGTTGAATGAAATAGATTTACTAAATAATGGAGCAAATAAATCAATGAACTGTATTAAAACAAATTAATATAACACAGTTCAAGTGTTATTAGGAGAGTAGAGTTAAATAAAAATATTATAAAAAAATTATAAATGCAAGAAAGAGTAAAGATAATGGAATGGTCAGTAAAATATAATAAGAGTTATGAGTAACAAAAAGAAAAAGAAGGAACTAGAAAAAAGAAATAAATTTAATGGATAGAAGAGATGTTGAACGAGGGTATGATTCCAAGAAACAACGGAATGTTCAAGAACGTAAATACTCAGAGATTGTAGCATTAAAACGGTATAATAATTGGGTTAAAGCATGTTTAATCAGAAAGTATATTCCAAAACATTCAAGAGTATTAGATTTTTGTGGAGGGAAAGGAGGAGATTACATTAAATTTGATCAAAATGGTGTTAGGAATGTATTAACGTGCGATATTTCAGGGGAATCATTAAAAGATGCAGAAAAAAGATATAAAGAAAGTGAACCATCATTTAGATTTAATTTGAAAACAATTAAAGAAGATTGTTTTAGTTCAGAATTATTAAATAAAATACCAAGTGATAGTTCATTTGAAGGTGTTTCATGTCAATTTGCTATTCATTATAGTTTTGAAACAAAAGA